TTACTCCAGATCCAGTATTCACAATTTCAATAAACTTGTTAAAACTGCTTTGGTGTTTGGCTCTGTGAAACTCAATCCCCCATTCATTACAGTTAACGTAATTTATTACTCAGTACTAAGACAAAGAACACGGCTTTAGGTACAATGTTGTTAAAGCTAATGTGTGAAGAGAAATCTGTGAAACATGGCCATACTGTTTTGAGTCAGGTGAGGTTCTACAGACATCAGCATTTTTTCAGTTTAATTGAAGGCAGGTGGTAAAACTGGTGTTTCTAATAAATATTTTTGCTGTGAAAACCCAACCGTTGAGTCCGAATGTGAGACATCTGAATACTAAATCACTTTTTTTCTGGTTATGCATTCTTGGTTGTCACAGACTGGCTTGGTTTCAAGTTTCAAGTAGTTTTATTGTCAATGCTTCATATGTGCAAAACATACAGAGAATAGAAATCGTGTTGTGTAATAACAAATAAGTGCACTTGATCACAGGACATATAGTCTATTCTGACATATGAGTCTGAATATTTTCAGGTCAGCCTTTTCTTCTGTACAGAGGGCTTGCACCATCTGATGATGGAGCCGTCAGAGGAGGAGGAGGGAGGGGTTCTTATCTCAGAGCTGAAGAGGCAGCTGGAGAGAAAAGACCTGAACCCTGAAAAGAAGATCAGCCTGCTGAACAACGCTTTAACCGGTGAGTCACTCACCTGTCAGGTTTACTATCCACCGAGAAAACTTGATCAGGATGTTTTATTTGTTCTTGTCTCTCAGAGGTTCTGAACTTGGCAGCTGTGCAGACAAACAGCAGCTCTCTGGCTCAAGTCAAGTCTCAGCTGTATCACAGCGGCATCCTGAATCACTGTGTACAGATGCTTTCACTGCATCCCAGCAGACTGCGGGACAACTGGACCGCCAGCGCCACACTCGCTCACCTAACCAGGTTAGACTACAGCTGAACTGAATTTAAGAAAACATTTTAGAAAAAAAAATCAGGGTTATATAAAAGATCTATCAATTTTTACTTTAAAATAAATTTGACGTTTTCTTAAAAAATTCAAGGATTTTATTTTTATTGTAAATTAAACAGACAGAAATGTAAAAGTAACTACTTTAAATTAATATATATAAATGAAACATATGTATATATGGACAGTGGCTTTCAAAAGTATTCATACCCCTTGAACTTGTCGTCGCATGATTTACCAAGAATGCAGAAACACGTTGGAATAAATGCACAGAAAGTCTGCGTGTATGGTCGTCAAAATGATTTAATTCTTGAGCAACAAACAGAAGTCAATCAGGAAGTCTGTCGGGTTTGTGGCTGCCACGTCAGCGTAGCGCAGCCAATAATATAACATCATGTTAACATCATGTGACGTGCTTATAACCAATCACAGATTGATGAACTGCTTAGCCAATAACAGGACTGTCAGCCTGGAAACACATTATCAGAAATTTAAGAGGTCATACATTGCTGGAGTCTTGAAGTCTGGCCGATAGAGTTAAACAGCCGAAAACTGGTTATAATAAGCTATGGTTACTGGACAGTGTCAAGGTAGAACAGATATACATAATTAGTCCATAACAAACTTTTCCATATTTTGTCACATTGCAACAAACAAACATAAATATATTTCATTGGAGTTTAATGTGAAAGACCAACACAAAGTAGTATACAACTGTGAAGTGGAAAGAAAATTATACATGATTCAAAACGTTTTTGACAAATAAAAAAGGGAAAAGTGTGTTGTGCAAAAGTATTCAGCCCCCTTTTCTCTGAGTGCAACCAATTGCATTCAGAAGTTGCCTGATGACTGCTAATGACTAAACAGAGTCCACCTCTTCAATGATAGAGACAACTCACCATTCAGTTCGGTTCAGTGATTTAGTGTCACGTTTCAATATTTTTTCTATACAAAAAGAGAAATTTCCATGGCCTTATTAACTTATAATTTATTGAAATTAATTATGAACATTTGTTCAACCTCAAAAGTACAGTTTTTAAATTAAATGTTGCTGAAACAGCAAGTTTCWCAGTGGATCTGCGCTCAAAAATGCATCCTAGGTGGAGTAGTCGAACCCAGATCAACTGATCCTTCAACACAGAGCATCTTCAGAAGACAAGTTGATAAAATACATTTGAAAAACCTGTATTGTTCCATACAGTGTGTATTGAACCCAGAACACGGTGCTAAACAATTCAATACAGATGCATGTGTTGTTGCACACCTATATTTTTTCAAATTTAAGAAGACTGAATATACATACTGACATTTTTAACATTTAAAGTAGTTGTACTTTTGAATAAGTTCTATCAATTTTGAAAGATTAATTTTCAAAATCTTTTTAAGTATCTGGAGGTATTTCGTTAATTTTTACCATATTATTTGACAGATTTTAATGAAATTTTCAGGAAATAATCCTTCAACATACATTTACAACTGATTAACTTTTGAAACCTTTGAAGTTGCCACATCTAATCCACAAAACAAAAATGGCCACAGGTTAAGCAAATTTATAGATAATGAGCTAAAATTAGATGTAGTGTGATGACATTGTGACATCTTGTGGCATCATATGAGATCAGATCACACCTAACTTTGTTTTACAAGGGTTGATCAAAACGCAGTCCTTTTGTTTTATAAGATAATATTATTCTGAAACTCTGGCATGATAGGTGGTGGGGGATAAGCTTTTCTTCAAGAAATGCTAGTCGCAATCTTGCACGTTTACATTTTTTTATGTTTTGTAAACTGGTTTGATCAGCAGGCTTAATGTTCTGGTGTTTGTACCTTCAGTTCCTGCTGTGTGGGGGTGGACCCAGGCAGCCAGTTCCAGGCCTTTCATAGGGTTTTCTTGCCATCAGTCATTGATGTCCTGCTGCCACTGGCCTGTCGGCTGATGAGCCAGGCAGAGGTGGGGAGCAGAGTTTGAAGAACATTTCCGTCAAGCTTCAGTTCAAACTGTGGCTGTAACTTTGCTGTGTGTGTCTGCCAGAGTTCGTCTGTCTTCAGGAAGGTGATGGATTCAGTTGGCTGGCTGCTGTCGGCTCACACTCACCTCACAACTCAGGGTCAGTTTTAATCAGCTCCATGATCGATCTTTAATGTGACCAAGATCTGCTCCTGTTTTAAACTGACATTCTTCTGCTGCCACATACTCACAGCTGCACCAAAAAAACAGATAATTCCACCTGGAAAACTAGTCCTTAACAAATTCACTGTATTTTAACGAGAATCTAAACATCCAAACATTCCTTAAACTGATGTGTCTGTCTTCAGTCCTCAGCTCTGCCTACTACGAACAGATCCAGATGTGTGATGACATTGCTGTGGGTCTGCTCTGCATCCAGATGTGGATTCAAATTTGCACAGTCAACAGGTGACACATATCTTGCTCACACAACTTTCTTTTGTATAAAATAACACAATTTTACAGATAAGCAATGACACCATGTAAGTATGCTGAAAGTTCTATGTGGTACATTGATTTTACATTTGATTTATAGTAAAAAAAAAAAGGTGAAACTACAAGTCAAATCTATTTTAAAGAGATCCACAATTAGTTGTAACATTAAAATTTATTTGATAAACATTTATTTTAACTGTAAAATAAAGACTGTAAAAATACTGTAGGCTGTTTAGTTTTGTAAATTTTTTAAAATATATTTTAACACGGACGGAGCCATTTTATTTACACGCAAAGCATTCTGGGTAAATGATGACATCAACTAGGTAATCGGTGCGAGGCTGCTAGCGAGCTATATCCACCCTGAAGGTTAATCTTGGACAATATCTGATGATCGACTCTTAAATGAAACCAGAGAGCGTTGACAGAGAGGAGAAGGTAGAAATGACTCAGCCTGGAACTGAAAACAACAGAAGATTGTTAATCACTCATTCATTCAAACCAGATGTGTCAAATCAGAGAAACATCTAAAAATCACTGCTTTAAATGTTGACCAACACCTCAAGAGCTTCTCTGAGCTTGATGAGACATTTTCAAAATATGATACTGACTTAGTTTTATGTTTTTTAGTGTTGGCTCTGGAAACCATTGATTCTTTGCCATTTATTTGTAAAAAATAAATCAGATAACGTATTAAAGAAGTGATTCTCAACCCTGGTCCTCAAGGACTCCTTTTCTGTTTGTTTAGATGTTTCCCTGATTTGACACTCCTGGTTTGAATGAATGAGTGATGAACAAACTTCTGAAGACCTGCTGAATAGCAGGAAAACAAGTAAAACATGCTGGATAGGGGCTCTCGAGGACCAGGGTTGGGAACCACTGCATTAGGGTCCAGAACAGTGTTCTGGTACCAGAACCCTAACCATAGAGATCACACACAGAAGATGTTTAGGTAATGGAAAATTCCTTTTATTTTAAGCTAGTAATTCTTCCATGATATACTTTTTCCATAGCACCCTGTTTATCGTTAAATTAAATGATTATAGTCAGAACAAGCTCTAACAGCAATTACTCTTAGATATCACTTGTATTTATCTGTGTTTTCTCTTGACCTAGCAAAGCTCTTAGGATGAAATCTTGCTTTATTAAGATGACATAACGGTGTTTACTTCTGTGTTCTTTTTTATCACAATAAACAAACTCAGATGACCATTCTATGAAGTGCCTTTATTCTTTCAATTACGTATTTCTGTTCCTTGTTATAGTAGTAAGTAGTAAATCATTTTATTTTGTATTTGCGTCATGCACCAAAACAGGTGTCCAGCCCACACGGGCTTATAAGACACAATAAAACACATTCATATAGGCAGGCAGACATAAACATTCTTTAAACAAAAGTGTCCTCCGGAGGGGCCAGGTTTTTAACAGGAAGTGCACTAACTGAAATACAAAATACTTAAATACATACTGCATTTTATTTAAATAAACTAAATAAAAATATTCTGGATAAACATCAATAAATAATTCATTTCTCAAAATCATGTACAAAGGACAATAAAACAGTTAGTGTATTTCATTTTCAATTTCACCCAAATCACACAAAGAACATATGATCCTCCTCTGGAACTGAATGACATCGTCCAGTCTCCAGTGCCAAAGGCAAAGAGCCAGATCTAAACTGTGCACAGACAGACCTTTGATGTTTAGATAGGTTCCATGTTGCATAAGGTTCAGGACCATCCTTTATTTGAATATAGGTTTATAATTTTGGAATAAAACTTCAAAATAAGATAGTTTCATCTGTTCAATATTACATCTGAACTTACTTCTTCTATAAATATACAGAAAATATGCCTCCTCAAATATTTTTTCACTTTGTCTGGCCCAGGTATATTATATTAGCCTGGCCCTTACCTTCCTACGCAGCTCCACTCAATTCTAGTTGTTTCCCTTCACTGCTCCGTCTGGGACTTCTCCCATTGAGATGGATTTCGCTGGCAGATTTTTAGCCGGGCCAATCAGAGAACAGAATGTTGATTTTCTGTGCAGTGTCTCTTGTAGTTTATTTTACCTGGGCCAATCAGAGAACAGAAGGAGGAGTTTTGAATGATGTCAATGTTCTGCGCAGTGTCTGTTAGTTATTTTAGCATACGGCAGTGGAGGAAGTGAATGAAGCCAGTCTGTGTGGATAAGGCTTCCAAATTAAAAAAAAAATTGTCTGACAAAGCAGCAGCTCTCATTTACAGTCGTCTCGTTCGGCTCGGTATATTTCTCCTCTCAGTAGGGTTGTTTACAGCACACGCGATTTCCGGTTAGCTTCTTAGCTTAGCCTCCGTCACAGCGACAACACATACACGATTCTTGCAGTAGGCGTGGCCTCTGCTTAAGCGTGTATGTGTTGTCACAGCGACAACACATACACGATTCTTGCAGTAGGCGTGGCCTCTGCTTAAGCGTGTATGTGTTGTCACAGCGACAACACATACACGA